GGGAGGTCGGGTGGGGGGGGCGGAGGACATGCGGGGGGGGGGGGGAGGGCCCGGGCGGACATCGGTGTATGTGCGCGCCCCGGCGGCGGCGGCTCCGGGCCCCCATTCGGCGAATGTTGGCTATTTTTGTGACGGCCCCCCGTCGCCCTGCTCCCCGAGCAAACCCTCTCTGATCTCTTGGAAGGCTTACTACCCTAGTTCTTTTTTCGAGAGAGAGTCATAATGGTTCGTCTCCCCTCTCCTCTCCTTTCCCGCCCCCCCCCTCATGTCGCACACTCTCCGATGCCTTTTCCTCTTGCCCCGGAGGGGGATCCTGCGGCGGTCGCGCGGCCCGCCCGCCCCCCCCCCGTGTCACTGCACCGCGAGCCCACATGCTGCGTGTGTTGCCATGGCTGTCTGGCCACTTTTGCCGCGCCCGCGCAGGCGCACCCAGTCTCCGGCGGCGGCCGCCGCCGCGCGCTGTCCCCCTCCTCGCGCCCTCTCTCCCTCCTTGTTCCACGGACTCGCGCGCAAGCGTCCCCTGGCGGGGGAGACTGCGCGCGCCGGCGCCCCCTCCCTCCTCAAGTCCACCTCCGCTGGCGGATGCAGCGTGCATCCGATAGCCCCGCCTGCCATGACGCGCCCGCTGACCCCCTTCCTGTGTGTTCCCGGCCGCGCTCGCCCGTCCATCCACGTAGACCGCCAAGAAGTCCTTCAACACCAAGCGCCTTCTCGGCAAGAAGTGCCGCCAGAACCGCCCCCTCCCCAACTGGTTCCGCTTCAAGAGCGACACCACCATTCGGTGCGTCCCCCTCCCCCTTGCCCCCCCTCTCTCTCTCTCTGTCTCTCGTCCGGCTGCCCGACGCGCTCGCCCTTTTGTGTCCTCCCTTTGCTCCGCCATCTCTCCCCCTCTCTTCGTGTGAAACATGCCTCTTCGGGCGAGGGCGAGACAGTGCAACTCGCACGCACGCGCCCGGTGGGGCCTGTGTTTTGCCTTCTTCCTTTGCTCCTTCTCTCCGTGTCGCGCCGTGAAAGACCTGCGAATGCGTGGTGTCGCACGCGGCGGTCCCCCCCTCTCCCTAACGCTAACACCCGCTCCCTGCTCCGTCCCCTTTCCCCGCCTCGCTCTCTCTCTCTCTCCTCCTCCTCTCCAGCTACAACGCCCGCCGTCGCCACTGGCGCCGCACCAAGCTCAAGCTGTAAATGAACTTGACGCTTGCTGCGTTCCGGACTGCGCCGGCTGTCCTTCCCCCCGTCGGTATTTCCCCCTCCGGCGGCTGGTAGGGCCGCCCGCAGTGGGGCACTCGCTCTGTGGGCCCGGTTGGCCTGGGGCGTGGGCCCGGTTGGCCTGTTCCATCGCCGCTGGGGGCAGCGCTGGCGCGCGCCCGCCTTATAGCGAGTCGCGCGCGCGCGTGCTCTCCGTGTCGCGCGATGGCCAGGTCCTGGTCCCTCTCTCCCCGCCGCAGGTTTTCGTCCAGGGCGGCGGCTCTGCGTCGCATCGGCGCGGGGCCTGGTAGTGTGTGGGGGCATGGAGGGGGACGGTGCAGGCGCGCGTGGGGGCCCCCCCCCTCTCCCCGTGCGCCCTGTTTCTCTCCCGCCCCCATTTCTCCTTCCCACGCCCCCGTGTGTGTGTTTCTTTCACTTTTCTCCCCCCCTCCTGTCGTCCTCTCTTTCCCTCGCACACCCCTCCCTCCATCGGGGGAGGAGGAGGAGGAGATGGTCTGGGGCGGGGGGAGACGCGCGGCGCCGTGTCGGGGGGTGGTGGTGATGGTGTGCGGGGCAGGTGTGCCTCTCTCCCTCTCTTGTCCCGTCACCACATTCCCCCCTCCCCCCCGGAGCCTTTTCCCCCCTCTGCGTCGGCGCAGCTCCTTCTAGTTCACAACTGATCTTGGGTCTCCCTTTCTCCTGTGTGTTCCTTGTAGCATATTCATACATTCAACATATGTCTTTCTCTCCTTCTTCCGTGTCCGCCAGGAGGGGCGGGGGGGGGGACACGCAGAGGGCGCGCGGCTGTGCGGCGCCCTTTTCCCGCCCTCAGTGTGTCTGTGGTCACCGAGTTATGGCAAGAGTGGGGGCGGCGGAGGGCCGGGTCAGGGGACAGGGCTTTCGTTGGTGGGGTCCCCTCTGCCGCGGTCTTGTGTGTGTGTGTGTGTGTGTGCTGCCGCCGCAGGAGGGAGGAGGGCGGGGCGCCGGTCCTTTTTCCCGCGCGGAGACGTGGGATGCCGGACGCGCAGGCACAGTGCCGGGGCCGATCGCCGCCTGCCGCGCCTGGCCGCGCGCCCCCGGGGCCGGGTCCTGACCGTTGGCCTTTCTGGCCAGCTTCGTGCCCTGGGGGAGGGGCGGGTGCTTGTCCCGAGGACGGGCCGGGCGCCGCCCCCTGGCTGCCCTTGGGTTTAGGTCGGGTTAAGGCGCATCACTGGCCGGCCGCACCCAGTTACGCAGATTGTGGGTCACCCTGCGGAGCTGCGACTTTCTGGTGGTCCGGCGGCCGGGCCCGCGCGCCCGCCGCCACCCGCGCCGCGAGAGGCGCTCCCACCCGCGCCCGCTCCCCTGGCATGTGGCGGACGCGACCGGGCGGGAGGAGTCCTACCAGCCGGGGCGGAGGGTGGAGGTCGCGCCGGCCGGGTGCCTCAGCTGGCGGCGCCCGCCGGCCAATGTAGGCATGCCTGGGATGTCGGCTCACGCACCCGTCTCTGTCTTGCCTGGTCCCGGGAGGCCAAGACGCCGGTCACCAGAGGGGCACCCCGGGCAGGGTCGTTCGAGTGTCGGCCATCGACGGCCGTGGGCCTTCGGGCGTGGGCGGCCCCGGGCATCCATCGGGGCATGCTTGGGGCTGCTTGCCGCCCGGTCACAGCCGGGAGCGCGGACGCGGCCGGGGCGGGCGAGGGGGAGGGGGGCTTGCCAGTGCTGGGGACCTTTCCCCGGGGCGGGCTGGCGTCGTTCGCTCGACCAATAGCTTCTTCGACTCCCGCCGGTAGTCCGCCGATGGCCATCAACTGGGCGTGATCCGGGATCCAACGTGACCGGGCATTTTCGGGAACTCGACCGATACTGCATTCCTGCCAGACGCCCAAATGAGCCGTCCGCCACCGGGGCAGGGGGGGGGGGGCGCCCTCCCGGCCGTTCGTTGTCCGGGGGGCGACCGCGGTCGCATGCTGCGTCCGCCCCGCCCGTGAGCCGGGCCCGGGAGCGCACATTAAGCGCGGCCCGGGGGTGTTTGCACGATCGCCGGGCATGCGGCACCTGTGTGTACCTGCGCGCGTGTGTGGGCCAGGCGAGCGGGGGATGCCCTGCCGGCCGACAGGGCCGCACGGGCGGGCGTGGCCGGCCGCCATCAGCTGACGCCGCGGCGGGCGCGTCCCGGTCCCCCTTTTGCCCCGGGCCCCCCCTGGGTCTGGCGCGCGCATGCCTCCTTCGTGGTCTTTCCCGGGCGGAGGGCGGGGGGGGGGGGCGATCGCGAGACCGGGTGGTCCGCTGCTCCAGACTTCGGGCACCCCTTCTCCTGGTCTCTCTCGGTGACCTGCCTGAGACGTGGCGGCCGGCCTCTTGCTCCGGGGGGGGGGGGGGCGCGAATGTGCAGCGGGCTGTACGTCGCCCCGGCCGCGGCCTCTGGGCGTCGCCCGGGAAATGGGGTGCATGTGGCCGCCCCGCGCCGGGCCGTGTGGCCGTCGGAGGGAGGGGGGGGGGGGGGGGCGGGGCAGCTGGGTCCGGGTGGCGTGGATCCGCGGAGGCCGGCCGGGGGGGATCGGGTGGGTCTGCGCGGGGCGCACGCGCACGGACCCCCGGCTGCCGGCAGCCCCTGGAGGGGGCCGCCCGGGCGTCTGGCTGCCGGTCGGGCCGGTCCGGGCCCTGGTGCCAGGCCCCGGGCCGCGGGCAAACAGATCATCGATGGCGCCGGTGCGCCAGCGCCGGCCGCCGCCGGTGCCGGGCTCCCTCCCTTGCCTCGGACCGCGTCGCCATCATGGGGGGGGGAGGCGACCGGGGCGGCCGGGCGGTCGGGGTTGGGCCTCCAAGCGCTGGGGCGCAGCGGGGGGACCCGGTGAAACACCCTGTGGTGGGGACCGGCACGGCCTGGCGTGGCGCGAGCTGCCGCCGTCCTCACGGGGGGGAGGGCAGGGCGCGCCCGGGCCCAGCGGCGACGGCGCAGGAGTGCCAATGCTCTGTTCGGTGGTGGCGCGGTGGCGGCCGGGGGCGGCGCGCCCGCCGGGCGCTGCGTGGGGAGTGTCTTTTTTCTCGCCGCCGCCCGGTGGCGGGTTGCTCTCCGGGTCTGGGACGCCCCCCCCCCCCCCTTGTGTGGCGTGTCTCTCGGTGTGGCTCTCGCTCTGCGGCTCGCCGCCTGGCCTCCGCCCCTCCCCCCGCCCCTTCCTGGTGACTGTGGGGACGGCGGACGGGGGACGGCGGTGGTCGTGTCTCGCGATCTGCTCTGTCAGCTGGGCCGAGCGGGGTGTTGTTGGCCCCACCGGCCCGGGAGAGGGAAGGGGCAGCATCCGCGCCAGGTCGCGCGCCGGACGGTCGGGCCAGGGGCGCGTTCACTCGTATCTTCGACGCGTGGGTGGGTGGGGGGAGGGGAGGGCACCGGTCGCGGGGCGGGGCATTTCTGGAGAACCCGCAAGCCGTGGGGCGGCCGTTCGGCGCGCCGCCGCCGCCGCACGACGACCGGACCAAAACAAATCTCGCTGGTTGTGTGTGTGTGTGCCGCAGCCGCGGCCGCCACGCCTATAAATGTACATATATATCTGCCGACAGGCACACGGGGGAAAGCAGCCTGGGCACGGCGGCCGTCCACCGAATCCGACTATAACACCCCGCCTCTCCCCGGCGGCGGTCAAGTGCACGGCCAGCCGCTGGGAGTCGGCCGGCCGGGGGCCGCCCTCCTTGGCGGCCCAATATGCACATATCGCGCCCGGCTGGGGTGCGTGTGGGAACACCATCGCGCCAAGGACGCCGTTCCCCCCGTCCCCCCCCCTAGGCAGCAGGCTCAGTCGGCGGAGGGGCATGAGCGTCCGGCCGGGTCGGATAATGTGACTGCCCTGCCGCGGCGGCGGCGGCGGCGGCGGCCTGCTTCCCCGGCCTACGCCGACCGTGTGTGTGTGTGCGTGGGGGGGGGGGGGCCTTTGG